GATACTTCTGTAGATCACGTCCCGTAACAATCGGCTGTTTCGAGGAAGAACTATCTCTATTCGTAACTAAATAGTGGTTAATGTTATCCAGAGCGTGCGCAATAGCGTAAACAGCGTCAATGTCATACGACACGAAAGAGTTCCGGATCTTTTTTAGGGCATTGTGTAGCGTTAGATTTGATTCGCAAGTTGGAATTCGTCCCAGATCAATTGCTGAGCAGTTAAATTCTAATCTCCAGAATTCCTCCCACCACTCCCTGCCTCTTTCAAGGCTTTTTGCAGGGGTGATAATCTTAAGATGCTCTTCAAAGTCGGGTATACTGGATAGTCATGTGGCTGTATTCCTAAGGAGCCATTAAGCATTGCAAAGTTAGGGTCAAGTAACACAGCTTCTTCAGAGGTCAACGCGTCGCTGAGTATCCAAGTCTTTTCTATAAGGTTTTTACTCGTTGCCTCTCGAAAAAATTCTCTACCATAATCGCTTGCTAGCCAGACGACGATCACTCCGATATTAGACCTGAGCTTAATCTTAGCAACCGTTTGTTTGATCTTATCATGATAGTCTCGTCGTGGGATGTGCTCCGAAAAGGCAACGCAGAAGGTTTTTCTGTTGTATGATTCTTTCTCTAGTGCCCAAATACCATTCCGTCCGTAAGAGTCATCCAAACCCACAGCCGCCACGTATGTCCAGTTAAAGAGTTCTATAATGTCTGCCATGACCTTTGCCTGTCAGATGTCAGGTGGAACTGTTCTGAAGAAGTTTTCGTGCAATTTTGAACTCAAGTCTACGCTTGTGGCAGTTGAGCTGATGGCAGGAATATCAACGACTTGAAGAAAGCTTCCAACCAGCACTGCGCTGGCGGAAGTGTCAGGACCAATAAGCACTGAGATCGGCTTGGATCCGTTTTGCATGGTATTGTCCGTTGCAGAATCATCTTGCATGAAGTCATAGGCTATTTTCACAGCTATGTTCGTGCTAAAACAGTAGTTTCGTATGTCATATCCGAGCGTCACGTTCGGAAGAAGAACGGGATTCTTGTTTATGCTTTCAATAGGGTATATTATAGCTTCTACATGCCCCAGTCCAGTTGTGAAAAGATTACCGCAGTGATCATCACCCTCTGGTAAGCGTATGCTGAGCAGACCCCCGACTATTACGTCGCCATCCTTGTAAGCTCTAAAATCGTGGTTGCAGGATGTTTGTGGAATAAATGGGGATATAAACAGAAATAGTCTTAAGAGGCTGGAGAACACTATACTTCTCATCCAAGTCATCGTCTTTATATGCTGTGCAGTACCCTGGAGGAGAATCATATTGATAGACATTTGGACATGCTAACATGATTCCCCTAAAATATTTCCCACGCCCGCTGGAGATAGCCAGACACACAAAAAGAAGTGNACACGAAAGAGTTCCGGATCTTTTTTAGGGCATTGTGTAGCGTCAGATTTGATTCGCAAGTTGGAATTCGTCCCAGATCAATTGCTGAGCAGTTAAATTCTAATCTCCAGAATTCCTCCCACCACTCCCTGCCTCTTTCAAGGCTTTTTGCAGGGGTGATAATCTTAAGATGCTCTTCAAAGTCGGGTACTGGATAGTCATGTGGCTGTATTCCTAAGGAGCCATTAAGCATTGCAAAGTTAGGGTCAAGTAACACAGCTTCTTCAGAGGTCAACGCGTCGCTGAGTATCCAAGTCTTTTCTATAAGGTTTTTACTCGTTGCCTCTGGAAAAAATTCTCTACCATAATCGCTTGCTAGCCAGACGACGATCACTCCGATATTAGACCTGAGCTTAATCTTAGCAACCGTTTGTTTGATCTTATCATGATAGTCTCGTCGTGGGATGTGCTCCGAAAAGGCAACGCAGAAGGTTTTTCTGTTGTATGATTCTTTCTCTAGTGCCCAAATACCATTCCGTCCGTAAGAGTCATCCAAACCCACAGCCGCCACGTATGTCCAGTTAAAGAGTTCTATAATGTCTGCCATGACCTTTGCCTGTCAGATGTCAGGTGGAACTGTTCTGAAGAAGTTTTCGTGCAATTTTGAACTCAAGTCTACGCTTGTGGCAGTTGAGCTGATGGCAGGAATATCAACGACTTGAAGAAAGCTTCCAACCAGCACTGCGCTGGCGGAAGTGTCAGGACCAATAAGCACTGAGATCGGCTTGGATCCGTTTTGCATGGTATTGTCCGTTGCAGAATCATCTTGCATGAAGTCATAGGCTATTTTCACAGCTATGTTCGTGCTAAAACAGTAGTTTCGTATGTCATATCCGAGCGTCACGTTCGGAAGAAGAACGGGATTCTTGTTTATGCTTTCAATAGCGTATATTATAGCTTCTACATGCCCCAGTCCAGTTGTGAAAAGATTACCGCAGTGATCAGCACCCTCTGGTAAGCGTATGCTGAGCAGACCCCCGACTATTACGTCGCCATCCTTGTAAGCTCTAAAATCGTGGTTGCAGGATGTTTGTGGAATAAATGGGGATATAAACAGAAATAGTCTTAAGAGGCTGGAGAACACTATACTTCTCATCCAAGTCATCGTCTTTATATGCTGTGCAGTACCCTGGAGGAGAATCATATTGATAGACATTTGGACATGCTAACATGATTCCCCTAAAATATTTCCCACGCCCGCTGGAGATAGCCAGACACACAAAAAGAAGTGGAAAGTATCTAATTATTCTCTTTAGGCCGTTTTGTCTTTTTCGCTCATGTTTAACAAACGGAAAAGGAAGTATCAAAGGAATTTGGATATAGCCTTAACAACATGATTAACATATACCCTTGCTTAGTCTTATTTTATTGTGAATAATATTTCGTGAATTGAAAGGAGGGAGTGTCCGAATGTGGTTTTCACCTTGCTGAGGATGATCGACGTTTACCCTTTACTGGAGGAAAAAGGTGGCATCAAACGTTTCAGTAACTGTGACTATGATACTTTACTAGAGCTGAATATAGCTAACACGACTGAATATAACTTAAGAGGTATGAATGTGTTCGTCTGGCCAAACCCCAAACACCTACATATAGCCTTAACTCCTTAACTCGTCTTCCTTATAAGAGGCTAATGGAGAGGTGCCGCTGGATGGGGTCGCATTTTCAATAGAATTGCTAGAATGGTGTCGCACACTTTCGGATTTTTTGGTGTAAGACAGTTCTTCATATTTACGGTAAGCAAACGCACCAGAATGTTTGTATTGTAGAAGAAAAGTAAAGTGTTCTTCATTCAATCTAAAAAATGGGTCAATTCATAAAAATAGAAAGTGACTAAGTTGGTATTGCGAAAATAACATATTTTCTCCACAAGTGACTAAGGTGGGTCTAAAATTGGCCACAGAATAGACTATAGTGGGGTAGGGGCTCTGAGAGGCCAGCGGCACATGTACCTATCATGCCGCAAAAATTAACCCAAGTACCCTCCCCGGGATGCCGCAGCGAAATATTGGTACTTGCCTCGCGATTCTTTTAGGAGAACCATTAGTCTGAAGGAACTTAGACGTTTACTTGTTTCTCATAGTTTCATAAATTAGACGTTTACTGTTACCAATGGTTTGGGGTTTCATGTAAATATGATTTTTATGTGTGATGTTGTATGTGTCACTCAACGGAGATACTAGCCTTTAGGATACTCTAAAATCTGAAGTTAAATAAAGTTATGAATGTTTGTAGTAGTAACTTTGACAATTTTGTTACTCGAACGGTGTAAATGGTTTATCATTCGAAAAGCCTTAAAGTCAAAGCCGTAGAGGAAACATTAAAATTGAGTGATAAGGTGTTTGTGAACATTCTGACTCAAAATGGCACACGGAAGAAACAGTAATATATTAACTTCTATTGTCATTTTCAAAATGACCAAAAAGAATCCTTTTGTTATTGGAGGTTAGAGAAAAAACCGAATTGTTGAGTTTAGAGTCCTTTCCATTCATATCCAGAAAGGTCAATAAGCTAAAAAATATTGTCATATTCACAAGGTGTCTTCTGATTTTAAGACAGAAAATTTCTGAGGAGGAATTTAGTGCAAAAGGGAACTAGTACTAGTAGTAACCTTACCGATACATGAATCACATTCAGTATGCTGGGAACGGTTCTTCGCTCTCTTAATCTTGCGCCAAATTAGTGACAAAACCTGTTCTTTTTTAGTTTCACTTATATATTTTTCGTATTCAACGCAAAATAATCAACTTGGGCGATGTCAGGAGAAGTAATAAAACGATTGTTGTTTTACTATACCATCTGTTTTTGCGTGGGTCCATTTCAAATTTAAATAAACCATTTATTTTTTGGTAATCTTCTCATTGAGTGAAACCATTGGTAGTTTTACTGGAAATTTTGACTACTTTGACACTCGGTGATCGGATAAGTCATTTACCATTTAAAGTGCTCCTACGACGAAAATGTTTTGCTTCATTTCTCACTTTGTAAAAGGTTCAAATATATACAATTCGGGCTAAATTAGATACTTGCGTTCTCGGAGTGGACATCGTTGATTGAAAACTCGCAAAAACCGCCTGCCTTTTTTCGTGATACGCAACATAAGGCCCGTGAGATTTTAGTGACGTGTTTTTACCTTTTACCACATAATTTATTTTCTTGTTGTGATGTAGCAGACTAGTCTTAAAGACTAATGACTGGCTCCTTGCATCGTTTTCAGAGTGAAAAATGTTTTACTTAACTTATTTGGTATCTGATTCATATGAATGTGATTCAGAACGATGTTTTATTGGCAGATTGCTCTGAGATGATAAAAAAGTCCCTCGCTATCGATCAAGAAGGCGCGCTCCGAACAAATGTAAGAACTATAGCTCCAGAGGAGATTCACTCCGCAAGCCGCAGTAAATATATGTGAGCTTACGAAGGAGAAATACCATATGTTGTGCAGTGGGACGGTTTTGTTAAATATATAGTATGCCTTGGAAACTGCCAGCCGGGAGGCCAACCTTTTGTTCAAATTTTAATAATCATTGTGAAGCTCAGTGGCTCTCTTGGACTCATTTTATCAGATAATTTGGAGCAGTCCTCCCACAAGTATTGTGAACACTGCTTTTTATTCGCATGCACAGTGTATAAAGAAGACTTTTATCTTATGGTGAAGGGAAAGAAAAGATTTTTGAAATTTTTCATTGAGTATTTTAAGCATATCAGCAGGTGCCCGGGTGTTAATTCGTCGAATACAGTAATAACCAAGTGGTTTAAGAACCAGCTAGCAGGAGTTTGTCATTTTATTTCTCGGAAAAATATTAAAACCTGTTTAGCCAAGCCAGATCAGGCAAGTTTTTAGATGTGGTTTTAGTTAGATTATTCACGAAAATTCTCACCAAAGAGTTTGTCTTTGATATTGCAAGTTTATATTACAAGAAAATACTTTACTTTACTTTACTTTAAATGTTCCTTCTCATATGTTTCGGTCCCCTTCGATGTATTAATTTAAATTTATCCTGTGAAATATGTATACAGTTGAACCTCTCCACAATGACCACCTCGGTGACAGAAGAAAGCGGTGGTTGTAGAAAGGTGGCCATTGTAGAGAAGGTTGCCGTTCGTGGAGTTTACTCCTAATGCAGGTCACAGCAATCAGTAAATCTGAACGAAATGTTTAATGTCTCACAATAAAAACTGAAAACAATATAAACTTCGTTTTAAAAACCTCTAACTTTTTAATTACTAGCTTTCAAATGAGGTGGCAAATTACTAAAAGCTTGGATTACAGTATGAAATTGCAGCCTTTCTTTGCAGATTCTGTACGTACCTTAGGAATTAAACCTTTACTCCTAGTGATCACTTGATAAAATAATTCCTCAACAAATCTGGAGCATTTTTATGAACATACTTAAACCTTCACGTAAACACAAAGGTTGGATTATGAACACAGTCCAACCTCCAGTAACGACCACCTCCCTACAACGGCCAATTTTTTGTCCGACAGTCCATACATTGACTCTTGTTTAAACCTCTCTACAATGGCTACTTTCTTCTGTCCCTAAGGTGGCCGTTGTGGAGAGGTTTAACTCTAGTAGAACGTGCCTTTAGGGACACTGAGCTTTATTGGAATGACAGCTGATTGTGTGAGGCTATGTTCACACTACAGTCAAACTTCTTAACAAAGACACCAAAGGGACAGAACCAAGTATCCGCTTTACAGAGGTTTCGGTGTTATAGAGGTAGGGAATGTATGATTTTTGGCAACAGAACTGATTTTTGCCGTTTTGTAAAAGGTAAGGTTCCCTCTCTAACATAGTAAAAGTCTAGAGCAAGAAGATAGTGGTAAAGTGATAAAAGTCAGAAAGAAATCTTTCAATATGAAAGCGAGGCTCATAATAAAGAAACTACCTTTCGCTCTTTTAACGGTTAAAACTAAACAAAAGAAGTGGTTTGATTCATGTGGAAGTTTGTTTAGGTGAACCAACAAGGCTTAAAATGAGTACCGCTGGTAGGCTGCACTGCAGGCTCAATTTTCATATTAAATATGGCGGCCTCCATGATGGATTTGTTCTGAGTAGGTCAGAATCAAATTTCAGCTTCTTTGTTGAAATCTTGTTAAAAGAAAACTATAAAATAACAAGAAACACACTTAAACATGTTTTAATGAAGCAAAGTGGATAAGTATAATTTTATTTAAAAAGTATCGTTGTTTTCTGCTTCACTATTGTACATGTAAGTCTTCTGAGTAAGAAAGAATTTTTTTTTTCTTTTAGGGAACTGATAATAACATTACATAATTTTAACTAATCCAGACGTACTTTGGAAAACATCACTCCCGTTTAGTGTATCAAGACCGATCTGGTCTGTCATGATGCAATTCGCTCATCGAGGCAGTTTCCTAGTCAATCATCGGTAGTCTTTCTTCTAATGATAAACATGAGCTCAAGTAACGCCACATGTAGACCTCATTACCTTTGATCAGCCACTGTGTTGGCAGGTGTTGATGATTATAGAAGGTATTATGGAAGGTGTTGATGATTATAGAGTCTGAGCCTCCGAATAGTGGTCTCCGTCAGGTAGTTCTCCGTCTTGGAAGTTTTCACACGGAGATGAGTTTCCTTGGTAGCATTGGGCACCTAATGAAAGAATCTGGGCTAAAGAAACTTCTGGAATTGATTTATGCACCACCTGCAGTTGAGCGCATTCTTACTGCGAAAGCAATCGCAAGGTCGTTGATGCAGCTCTTAATACCCTTATCCTTTCTAAAGCCCTAGGAGTGTTCATTCCTGATCTTGAAGTAGAAGCTAATGCCCCTGGCGTGAATGATGCAATAGCTGCAGAGGAGACAATGCAAGGTACACCTGCTTTAAAGCTTCAGGAAGCTCGTGTTCTGTACGAAGATCAATTTAATGGTTAGAAAGAAATCAGTGGAAAAAGTCATTTCGGCCAGTGCAATCAGTAAGATCAAACATCTGCTCTAATAGCAGTAGGATATGAAGCAGTTTTCATATTTAAAATACTATTCACTGTGCAGATTCAATTATGTCTGCTTGTCATTTAATTATATCTGTTTGTCATTCAATTATGTACGTTTGTCTTTCAAATTATCCCTGGTCATTTAGTCATTTAATTAAAACTGTTTGTCACGCAGTTTCTTACTTCATGAACTTCTAATTAATTGAAGGAAGATCATCACAGTTACATACGCAACTTATGCAGTTGCGAAAAGAAAGTTTGAAAAAAAAAATTCAGGCTTGTACGGGATTCGAACCCTTCTGTGACTTCCGCGATAACGGTGCAGCGCTCTACCAATTAAGCTAACAAGCAATCTGGAACTTCATTAAATTAGGGCTTGTTGCGATTCAATTATTCAATATCGACTCAATATCGATTGACCGCTTATGTCTGAGCCCCCCAAAGCACCGCTGATTACTGACTGACATCTTCGCGCGGGCTTCTTTGCCTTTCTTGCACGAGGTTTGAAAATGGCGTCGAAGGAAATTCAAGATGTGAGCGATTTCGACGGAAAAGGGGAAATTTATCAACGGGTATTAACATTGTTGAATGAAGCGGTGGATATCCTGAGGTCACCATGCATGTCTTCTTGTCATTCAATTAAGACTGCAACTGTTGGTAGCGTCCGTACTTATCGAATGTAATTCTTTTTTCGCCGAGACCTGCTTCTCTTAAAATTACTTTCTACTCTCTTGAAGGCACTACCAACTGGTCTGATTCACACAGGCAGATGAACGTTTGAGTCCAGGTTTCCTTTAGTTTAAAACCTTTTTGGGGCCCAGCTTGACTTGGTCGAAATCGCTTAAAGAGTTGACGGGAACTAAATTTACCGACAGATGCGCCCTGACTGTAAAACGGAAAAAGACGCGCCATTTCTTGTAATTCTCCCCTTACAGGAGTGGCAGGAACTTGAACTGAGCCTACAGTTCGTTGCACTGGAAGCTGTTGCGGATGATCTGTCAACGTGCATGGTGACCTCAGGATAACCACCGCTTCATTCAACAATGTTAATGCTCGTTGATAATTTTCTCCTTTTCCGTCGGACTCGCTCAGATCTTGAATTTCCTTCGACGCCGTTTTCAAACCTCGTGCAAGAATGGCGCAAAGAAGCCTGTACGAAGACGTCAGTCAGTAATCTTCAGCGGTGCTTTTGCGAGCTCAGGTACAAGCGGTAAATCGATATTAAATCGATATTGAATAATTGAATCGCAACAAGCCGTAATTCAATGAAGTTTATAAAGTAAGAAATTGTGTGACAAACAGTTATAATTAAAGACGTATCAAATGACTAAATGACCAGGGATAATTTAATGACAAAAAGTAGTAATTGAAAGATAATATGTATGTGTAATCAAATGGTGACGAGTGAAATTAGAGAATAATTTCACGCGCGTTTTGTCCAAATCCTTATTTGGACAAAACGCAATTTAAATTATTCCCTAATTTCAATAGTATACCATTTGATTACCTATTATATCTAGGGTGACGAATTACGTTAGCAATCTTGAATGTTTGACATGTTTATCCTGGATCGTATCGATCGAGAACTCCACTCGCTCGAACGTTTAGAGTTTAAATTTGGCTTAAGTTCAGACGTTTTCGACAAAATACCTGTTACAATCCTTCTTGATGTGCTCTTTCGTGTGTTCAGGTTTTCTAAAGCGTCTTTTTATGCCCTGGTATCTTCATTCATTGATTTAAAACTTCGTCGCCATCTTGACACTGAGACGTACGGAATTAGGTTGCCATGGCAATTTTGCAATTTCACATGTGAAATTACAAATTATCGCTGAAATTTCGCGCCAAAATTAAGGAGTAATTCGTCACCTATGATATTACGAACATAACTGAATGTCAAGCAGGCATGATGAGATATAGCAATTGAATGACAAGAAGACATAACTGACAGACAGACGAACATAATTGAATGACAAGAAGACATAATCGAATGACAAGCAGACAATCGAATGACAAACGGACATAATTTAGTGGCAAGCAGACATAGTTGAATCTGCACAGTGAATGGTATTTTCGATATGAAAACTGCTTCATAGTAGGAATCCCTTCAAGACAATCGCAATGCTAAACTCTGATTGTAGTACATGGACATGGTCGAGATTCTAAGAAAATTTATCAAAACAGAACGTACTGGATACTGGGTACAGCATCTTGAAGCTCTTTCTGAAATTCTTTCCTATTTGGCAGCTTCTGGTCACAACCTTTACACCTCTCAGTTGTACCTGCATTGGTCCGTCTAGAGAGTGAACACCCTGTTGTGTACCAGAAACTAATTGATGGATTCTACGTAGTACGAAGAAATGAAAGAAAATGGGCTGGGCTGTCCACAGACCTTGTTTTAGAGCAGGTGTTAATGAGAAACATGAAGACGAGTGGTGTCTTAAAGAGAGGAAGAGGCATGACAGAGCAACAGCGGCTGATATGGCTCCTTTTGGTGCCAGTCTGTGCTGAGATGAATCCTGCTATGCTGGATCTCACAGGAATCTGTTACAGTACCAGCGAGCAAAATGTGGACATTTCAGAGTGCAGACAAAACAGTGACATGAAAGATACCCAAACTCTGCTAAATGCCTTAGCTGAGCAGAATCCCTTCACTGCTCAGCCAGGCCTAAGAAACATCATGAATGGTGTCCATGCAAATTATATTGTAAATGTAGCTGATTCTAGGGATATTGGACAGGGTATCTTAGCGTCAATGACTGGAAAGTTTGTCCCGGAGTTTGCCTTCAAACAAAGAAATCAGGCTGTGACTCTTGCTACAAAGTCATCGGTTGACATTGATGAAGAGAGGATCCAAGTAGACCCGCAGTTTCTATTCCAGCGTGTAATTGTAGCTTTGAAATCATTGAATGAGATGGAAGCAATGTTCAAAAACTGAACTATGCAGCTATTTACCTGCTGTGTTTGATTCTTCACTTATGTTGCTCCAACCACCCAAGCCAGTTCTTGCTGATGCTATTTGGGCTCTTACTTTGGAAAGCTCAGATGTCACAGTTTCTCAAGGAGAGCTCCAATTCGTTCGGGATGGTGGTGTACTCATTCATTCATTCCTGAATCCCCTGGCCTCGAGGGTCTACCCATCAGAATATCCGTGCATTGTACTGCAATTATATGGACCAGAAGTATGGGCAGGCGATCATTGTCTTTGATGGATACACAAAGGCATCCACAAAGAGAATGTCACAAAGGTGTGCAGGAGGGAAAGTAGGTGCAACCGTCACATTTACTGACGACATGAAACTTACAATGAAGAAGGATTGCTTCTGGCAAACAAAAGCAATAAACAGTCCTTCATTAATATGCTTAGTCGTTATCTTCAGCAGGCCAATTGCCAAGTTTATCACTGGACAGCTGATGCTGATTTGCTCATAGTAGACAAAGCTGTGGGAAGTTCAAGAACAATGGACACCGTGCTGGACGGGGATGACACTGATCTTCTTATTCTGCTCTGTTATCATGCAGAGTTAGATATATTAGACCTTTTTTCCAACCAGAATCAAAAGCAAATTCCAAGCGTCGATTCTGGAATATAAAATCAGTGAAGAAAAAGCTTGGCCAAGAGATTTGTCGTCATGTTCTTTTTGTCCATGCTATCAGACTGAGTGGATGCGATCCGACCTCTGGGTTGTATGGAATTTGCAAAGGTCTTCCACTAAAGAGGTTTGTCAGAGATACCCACTTTCGTGAACACGTCAAGGTGTTTGACAGTCTTCCAGCGTGTTGGTCTTTACAATGGGAAGCCTGGAGAAGGAGTTGCTTGATGTACTGCGATTTCGTCGCTTTTGTGAAAAGGTGTCTACTGGTACCTCCCAGATTCAGCCTCAAAGCTGCTGCTGCATCATACGACAGTATTAGAGTCTACCACCAACAACTTAGCCAGTGGAAGGACGAAGACGAACAAATACCTGCTGAAGAAAGGGGGTGGAGATTGCATGATGGAAAACTGGTACCTATCATGACCCACCTCCAGCCGTGTTTGGGAGGTCATAGGTTCGAATCCTGTTTTTGTCGTACGCTCGGACATGCTGATTATTTCATTTTCACCAGGACCCTATGACTGTGATGGGCTCTTGATTTTCACATAACACTAAAGTGTTCAGTTGCCTGAGGACACTGTCGAGGCACTAGTTGCACCAATGCTACAGCACTTCAACTCGATTTCGATGAAGATGTAGATGAAGATGAAGATGAAGATGATTGAAGGTCTAAAATCACTAACACGTTTTTTTAACTTTTGTAAATTTGCTTCTCAAAGTTCCAGTCAGAAAAATCTAATTCATAAGTCGAAATAGCTTTTTTTCTATCGCAAATAGAATTCAGGCTCATTTTCATGTAACTGATTCAGGCTGTTATAATTGAACTGAATTTAAGTGTCTTCCCATGCATAAATTTTCCTAGACTTTTAATAAGTATATCAAAGAGGCTTTCTTATTTCAAAACTGAAGAAAAAACTTCTTTTGCAATTAGTGAGAGGTCTATCAGTACGTTGACTGGACTATATACAGAAAAAAACAGTTTAGCAAAGTCTGAGTCGATTGAGGCGTTTAAAGTATTTTCCCCTGTTACTGGTCGAAAGAATAGCTGGTTGGCAATCTGCAATCTGTCGTTTTTAATTTTCGGTATCCAGCACAGCGTTAGGTACTTCTTCATTAATTTGTCTAGGCAAAGCTCTTGTTGCAGTTACATTACTAAAGGAGAAATCCATGACCTGCGACCTGATACTTTGGATGGTGTTTTGCTGGGATTGGAAAAAGAGAATGTAGATTCTGGGTCCGAACATGCATCCCAACAAACCAAACGAAGTTACTAACGTCGTAGTACAAGACACAATTGTCACGTACCAGCTCTCAAAAGCAAACGCCACAGGGTAATATGCCAGCGATGACAAAAGTAGAATGTACATAGAGAAGCCGATGTATCTTGTCTCGTTAAAGTTCTCGGGAATTCCTCGTGCTTTGAAAGCGTAATACGTACATAAGAAAGCCACAATTAAGGTGTAAGCATACACCGAGATGAAGAATGCAAGGCCGGCGTTTGTTTCAAAGGGTTTGCACACAAGGAAGACGTACTCATCAAAGCGAATGATCTTTTTACGCTTCGGAGAGTCCAAAAACATCCAGGGGACCAACAAACAAACGGAGGCTAAATTCATGACAGAAAGGAACACACTTTGCCTTGTCAGGGTTTTGTAACAGGGAGCAAACAACTGCGCTACTTTATCAACCTCAAAAACACTTGTCATTCGCATTGTTTTCAGAAAGAGCACCGTGATACAAAGATTAAGAGCAAAATAACGCCAGAAAGATGCTGCGGTGCAAAGTGGATGGCTGGGTTCAGAAAGTTCGAGGACGGCTAATATGTGGAGAGATGAGATGCCAAAGAGCAGCAAAAAAGAGATCTCTCTGTTAGAAGCCTTGACGATTGGGCTGTTGTAAAACTTGATGTAAATGCCGCAAACTGACAACGTGAGAATAACCCCGATCAAAGCCATCAAGGTTATCGCGATTCCAGCGGGGGTTGTATGCGTGATGTTAATGATCGGTAATTTTTCACACTTGTTTTGCTCTTCGTTTGATTTTGTCTCCAAGTCACATTTTGTGCAATTGGTGGATCCGTTTTCAGTACTGACAGTTCCCTTTGGGCACTTTATGCAGTCCCAGCAACATGGCGAGTTGAATTCCCTCCTGGTACCTGGCAAACATTCTGATGAACAAAAGGATAACGGGGTGTAGAGAGTTCTCCATCGTAGCCTGGACAAATCTATCTTGAGTTTAGGCGTGCTATTTTTGTTCCAAGATCCGACCCGAATATATTTGAGAGTCCTACCTGTGGTTGAGTCAAGCTGAAAGTTTATGATGTCGTATGAAGCAGTTAAAGGATCTCCAAACTTGTCAAATCGCACCTTCCCAGTCAACCCGTCAAAACTGATATTTCTGAGATATTTCTCCAGATCACGTCCCTTGACGGCCGGCTTGACTGGAGGACACTTTCCTCTTTTACCAGCACCATGTATAGTACGAGAACAGCGGTAAATGTTATCTAGGGCATGTGCAATAGCATATACAGCGTCAATTGTGTAAGAAACAAAAGAGCCGCGTATCTTTTGTAGCGCATGGTGTAACGTCAGATTTGCTTCGCAAAGTGCGACCCCAGACTGTTCATTGGAGTTTGTGGCTGAACAGTTGAAATGTAATCTCCAGAACTCTTCCCACCAGTGTGCGCCTCTTTCAATGCTTTTTCCAGGGGTGATCATCTTAAGGTGCTCTTCAAATTCGAGAACGGAATAGTCATGTGGCTTTATTCCCAAAGAGCCGTTTAGTATTGTGGGGTGAGAGTCAAGATAATTTCCCCGCGCGGTCAGTGCGTCACTAAGTATCCAAGTCTTTCCTTCAAGATTTTGAGTGGTTGCTTCTGCAAAAAATGCTCTTCCGTAAGCGCCAGAAAGCCAAACAATGATCACTGAGACTTCAGACCTCCTTTTAATCTTGAAAACAGTTTGCTTGGTTTTATTCCAATAACCTAGCCGTGGAATATACTCAGAAAAAGCAATGCAAAATGTTTTACGGTTGAATGATTCTTTTTCCAGGGCCGAAATACCGTTATGTCCATAAGAATCATCTAACCCGACAGCCGCCACGTATGTCCAGTTAAAGAGCTCTATGATGTCTGCCATGACCTTTGCCTGCCAGTTGTCTGGTGGAACTGTTCTGAAAAAGTTTTTGTACATTTGTGAACTCAATTCATCGCTGGTTACACTCGGGCTGATGACGGGAATGTCAGAAACCTGAAGAAGACTTCCTACTAGCACTGCGCTTCCAGACTCGGTAGGGCCAACTAACGCTGAGATGGTCTTGGTTTTGGTTTCCTTGACATATCTTGTCGGGGAGGTGCTGATGTTTTGGTTAGACATATGTGCTGGATCGCCATCACACATGAAGTCATAGGCTATTTTCATGGCTCGAGCTTTGCTCCAACAGTAGTCTCTTAAATCGTAGCCGATTGTCACGTTCGGTAAAATACTGGAATTCTTATTAATTTTCTCAATAGCGAAGATGGTAGCCTCTGCGTATCCTAGCCCTGTGGTAGAAATCTCAGTACATTGATCATCAGTGTCAGAATAGTGGATGTTGAAAAGACCACCAACTATAACGTCGCCATCTTTGTAATTTCTATATCCGTCGTCTGAGGATGTTAGTGGAAGAAATAGCAGTATAAAGAGAGGCGGTCTTAAGATGCCTGAAAACATTATGTTTATCCTCCACTTCATCGGCCTTGTGTGGTTTACACTAAAACAAATCAAAGGAATATAGATTTAACCTTGCGAATAGTTTCGAGAAAAAAATGCGGCTTTCCCAACAACAGTCAAACATTTATTGCGCAAACTTGTTTTTGTAACTTGCTTAAAAGTTCCCAATATCGTTTCCCCAAATTATTGTAAATCTGGCATATACTAAAAAACCTTCACATATTTTTAGCAGTCAAAGTAACCTTTTTAATTTTGTAAGTCGGAGTTACCCAAAGGGTATCTGCGATTTATAGAGGTCTTTATAGTGTTGGCTGCCATGTGCAAATGAGTTGCACACTTTCTTTGTGTGGACACTGTTACATTTGTGTCAACGATAAAGCAAAAGGTAGGATGATGCAGTCTTCCCATGATGCATTTCGCTGTAATATATTATCGAATTGGTTTGTGACGTCATCACTTTAAAGATGGATGCATTGAGAAAACAACTCGATCAAGCTGCTAGTCTCCTTCGCAGCCGTTATTAGGGTCGTCACGCAACGCTCCTGTCCCCATTGCGTGACGACCCTAATAACGGCTGCGAAGGAGACTATCAAGCTCCCGTCTTTGGGGAAGATACAGACGTGATTTATTTGCACTCTTGCGATTTGAATACCCAGTTCAAATTTACAGTACCTTCTTTGCAGTTTTTACGGCTGAATGTGGTCTTCGGCCATTTCATTTTTTTCAGTTCTTTGCGTAGAGTCGTTAGTAAGCTCAAGCTTGTATGTTATCAGCATATGTTCCCGTGAAAGAAATGAGTGTTAATGATATATGAAATAAATCATATATGAATTGCGGAAATGAAATGAAAATGAAGAAATGATCGTCGCATGCAGTGAACGCAATTTATGCAATTGCGTAAAGAAGCCTGAAAAAAATTCAGGACTTCAACGGGGTTGACCGTTGAAGTTGAAGTCCTGATTTTTTTTTCAGCCTTCTTTACGCAATTGCATATATTATGTTCACTGCGACGATCATTTCTTCATTTTTATTTTATTGCCGCGGTTCATATATGATTTATTTCATATATCATTAACACTCATTTCTTTCACGGGAACATATGCTGATAACATACAAGCTTAAGCTTACTAACGACTCTCCGCCAAAGAACTGAAAAAAATGAAATGGCCGAAGACCACATTCAAATTATGACAGCGAGGCTACAATAAACTCACTTTCATCGTAGAAATGCCTCTATACCTTAAAGAACACGTTTGTGGAACGACAGCACCCAATATACGTCATTCAGCTCTCTTTATAGTTTTGGCTGCCATGTGCAAGTGAGTTACTCACCTTTTCTGTGTTGCCTGCATGCGTCGCAGACACTCTAAACCTTCTGTATAGAGCGTCTGCGAATTAGTGCACAATATCGTGTTCGAATCCCGCAGAGTCGCGAGGACATATGTCGGCGTTTTTGATTGGCTAGTTTCTTACGCAGTTTGTGATTAGTCCGGTTTGAATTAAGTGTTGACAAGCCAAACATGACTAATAGCTCGTGACCAGAAAGACTGAGCTCGTGATAGTGTGAAACATGACCTTAGAGTCAGCTAGAACAACAGAGGTTTTT